TTTGATAATGCTAGATCATCCACGACTCCTGGAGGTTTTGCTCCAAATGAGAATGTGGATGAACATCCAGTTGAAGATGTGGTTGAACCACTTGTTGAAAATGTAGTGGATCCTCCTATTATAACTGAGGTTGAACAACCTAATAAGCCAGTTGAGAAAATTCATGTTAGAAGGTCAGTAAGACAAAAGCGACCTGCTATCCCTGATGATTTTGTAGTTTATCTTAGTGAGGATGCTTATGATGTTGGTATTGTTATTGATCCTAAAAATTATCTAGAAGCTATTACTTGTTCTCAATCTAGCATGTGGACAGATGCAATTCATGATGAAATGAAATCCATGATAAATAATGATGTTTGGGAACTAGTGGAGTTACCAAGAAACTATAGAGCGATTGGATGCAGGTGGATATTCAAAACAAAGAAGGACTCGAAAGGTAAAATTGAGAGGTTTAAGGCAAGAATTATGGCTAAAGGTTTCACACAAAAGGAGGGTATTGATTTTAATGAAACATTTTCTCCTGTTTCCACTAAAGACTCTTTTAGAATCGTTATGGCCCTTGTGGCACATTTTGACTTAGAATTGCATCAGATGGATGTTAAGACTGATTTTATGAATGGTGATCTTAATGAGGAGGTGTACATGCAGTAGCCAGAGGGTTTTGTAAAAGGTGGTGATGAGCACTTGGTTTGTAAATTAAGAAAATCTATTTATGGTTTGAAACAGGCTTCTAGACAATGGTACTTGAAATTTGATGAGGTGGTAACTTCATTGGGTTTTGAAGAAAATAAAGTTGATCAGTGCATCTATCTTAAGGTCAGTGGGAGTAAATTCATCTTTCTTGTGTTATATGTTGATGATATTTTGCTCGCAAGTAGTGATCTTGGTCTACTTCATGAGACCAAACTTATGCTAACCAAGTTCTTTGATATGAAGGACCTTGGTGAAGCACCTTTTATATTGGGAATTGAAATACACAGAGATAGATCACGTGGTGTGCTTGGCTTGTCACAGAGAGCTTATATTGATAGAGTTCTAGAGAGATTTAATATGAAGAACTGTAAGCCAGGAGATGTTCCAATTACTAAAGGAGACAAATTCAGTAAAGATCAATGTCCCAAAATGAGATTGAGCGGGCAGAGATGAAGGGAAAACCCTTTGACAGTGTATTAGGCAGCCTGATGTATGCTCAAGTATGCACTAGGCCTGACATTGCTTTCATAGTTGGCGTCTTGGGACGATACCAGTCTAATCATGGGAATGATCATTGGATTGCGGCTAAGAAAGTGATGAGATATTTGCAAAGAACTAAAGAATGTATGCTTGTTTTTAGGAGAGTTGACAACTTGGAAATAGTTGGGTATACTGAATCTGATCTTGCTGGGTGTGTTGATGATAGAAAATCTACTTTTGGTTACATTTTTATGTTGGCTGGAGGCGCGATATCATGGAAGAGTAAAAAGCAAACTCTTGTCGCCTCTTCTACTATGCAGGCAAAGTTTGTTGCTTGTTATGTTGCTGCCACTCATGCTGTTTGGTTAAGAAATTTAGTAACTGGACTTCGTATTATTGATTCCATTGCAAAGCCACTAAAGCTTTACTGTGATAATAGTTCAACTGTGTTCTACTCTAAGAATAATAAAACTTCTAGCGGTTCTAAGCATTTGGAATTGAAGTATTTGACAGTCAAAGATCTTATAAAGAAAAATGACATTGTTGTTGAGTACATTGGTACTGATTTCATGCTAGGTGATCCCCTAACTAAGGGACTTAGACCCATTGTGTTCAAAAACCATGTTGAGAACATGAGCATTGTGAGTTCTTTTGATGTACTTGGTTAGTGGGAGTTTGTTCTTTATGTCATTTTCTTTATCATGTTATATTTATTTTAGACACTTTAAATGTTGGATTGTCGAGTATTTTCTATTTTAAGCAATTGATATTACAATGATTATTATTATTATTATCATTTGTCATTGTTTATTTACATTTAAATTGCTAAATTTGGGACTCAGTGTCATCGAAACCATTGTGCCTATGGTCGACACTAGTTTGGAGTTCAAGGTATGGTTATTATTTTGAGTTCGGTGTCTTCGGGACCACTATACCGGTGGTTGATGCCATATTGGAGCTGAAGTATGATTTTAAGCTCGGCGTTGTCAGGACCACTGTGCCGGTGGTCGACGCCATGTTGGAGCTGAGGCATTATGGTTTGTAAAACCATACAATTTCTTTGTGTTTAATGCATTTGAGAGAAATTGTTAAGGACTGACGAAGAAAATAGCAAATGGTTGTTGGATCACATTAACATGTTATTTTCTTGCCACACTCCACACTGATGACTAGTTGACGGAGTATGTAGTATTTGTAACCACGAAAGGTTTTATGTCAATGAAGGACATAATAATCGTCGTGATTCAATACTGCTTAACTTTTGTTGGATGAAGTCATATTCAGATACTGCACCTGGAATCATGGATTTCCTTAAAATGCGGCCGCATTTTAAGGAATTAGTCATTAACCCGAGAGTCGTTTTCAAAATGTATTTTAAAATAAAAATCATACAATTGATTTTGCCCACGTGGGAGAATGTTAGATTTATCTAATATTTTATGGGCTACAATCAATTGTGGTTTAATTTGTAAAAAACGGATTAATCGTGATTCTGATGGGGGTGCATATATAAGCCCTTTAACTAATTAAATGATCAATTTTTAACTAATGGCTGAGTATCTGAAACCTGATTGGTGTGGGTAAAAGTGTGGACGTTAACCTTGGGCCCATAATGGGTAGGGACTAAGGTTATATATATTATATGGCTAGGTCCCCTCTGTAATCACAAAAAGCATCAGAAACATAACTGACGGCTCCATAACTTGGCCCATTGAAAGTTGTGAACGGGAGTGTGAGATACAGAGGAAGATTCGGTCATTCATCCATTCGGAATTCTGAATCATGACTTCAACAAGTAAGTATTGATGCTTTAATCTCATATAATATCCATGAATATTTCCGCTTACAATAAATACTTTAGGTACACTCCATATACATATTTCTTATTTATCATTTGGCATTAGTTTTTTTGTTTTCAATAATAAAACAAAGTATAAAAAGAAAGTATGCACAAGAGATGCTAAATGGGTCTTTTAGAAAAGCAAGAAATACAACAAACAAAAACAAAAATAAAAGCAAGAAAAACATAAGAACAAATAAAAATTCAGAAGGAACTTAAGAAAAAAAAACCGAGTATCTAAACCCTTTTATATATATATATATATATATATATATATATATATATATATATATATATATATATATATATATATATATATATATATATATATATATATATATATATATATATATATATATATATATATATATATATATATATATATATATATATATATATATATATATATATATATATATATATATATATATATATATATATATATATATATATATATATATATATATATATATATATATATATATATATATATATATATATATATATATATATATATATATATATATATATATATATATATATATATATATATATATATATATACTCTCAACACATATAAGAATAAGAATAAAACAAATTATTAAGTGTACACTCCGATACTTATAAATTTAAATAGATAATGACAAATTAATATCACATCACATTTTTATTTTATTTTATTTTAAAATAAATTAAAATTTTAAATTAATTTACTTGATACTCAACTTAAATTCACTGTAGTAATAAATAATTTACTTTATATTAATTGTGTATAACAAAGGAGTTTATATCCTTTCTAGATTTTTTTTTTAAATCTAAAGTTATTCCATTTCTTTCAAACTTGCAAACAATCTTTTGTAACATTGTGTTGTTTGAATGGTTTTGGTTATTTTTCGTACAGAGTTGGGGTTGAAACAGTGTGGTAGCCTAGTTCACTAGTGAGCAATAGTATGGTTACACGTATGTTGAAAATGTTGATGTGTTGAGACCACTACTGTCGGAATGTAAACATCGCGTATCCTGCAATTAGATTGGATGAGAAGGACTCTCGTGCTATGATTTCAACATAGAGAGAGAATATTCAAGATTTCCGAAGAGAATACTTCCTATAACTATTTTTATGTTTCAAGTCAATATAGTTATTGGTTTTTTTCAGATATTATGTTTAAAGTTTTTTCTTAATGCTCTAGAATCCCCAATTTAAGTCTTTTAATGACAAGTTTACAGTTTATTTTATTAATTATAATTTATTTTTCAGACGTTATTTCAAATAGCATTTTAGTTTATAGTTTATATCTTAATTTTTTTTTTCCGATTTTATCTTTATTATTTTAACAAAAATTCTTTTTTATATTTTATAATTTATTTTAATTTAAAATAAAATAAATTTATATTAAATATCTTTTATGTCATTTTACTAAATCGTTAATTTTATCAAACACTTCAATTAACTTATCAGTAATCACTCATCAATCATCCGCTATAAGCTATAAGCTATAAGCTATCAGCCATCAGCCATAAGCTAAAAGCTATCTTAGCAGTCAACCACTAATTTTACTAAACAGAGCCTAAATGTATTTTTGATTTACTTTTTTTTATTTATTTTTAAATTTTTTAACCGCACTTAATTTTTCAGTTTTTTGGTTCTTTTATTTAACTTTGATTGGTTTTTTTGTCTCTTCAGACTTTTGTCTATGTGGCAAATGAAAAAATCGAATTGACACTCAATAGTTGGCGTCACATCACAAATTAAATTAAAAAACTAAAAAAATTAATTATTTTAATTCTGAAATTTTTTTTAATAGGTTAAATAATAAAATATATTTATAAATACAAATTAAAACCTTCAATTGAGTATGAAACCCTAAATCATATGTTTTTCCCCTTTCCTTAGTCAGTTTTAATCAACTCATTTGTAACTCGGAATTCTTTGCGTAATCATTCCAGAACCACATCGTTTCCATCATATTGTTCTCAATCTTCAACCATGTCCATATATTTCCAAGGAAGTAACTGCAGCAAATCTCATTTCGTCTGTGACGAATGTAAATGTGGCCTTGATGCACCATTGATGACATCATGGACTGATGCTAACTTAGGACGTCGTTTCTATGGATGTGAAATGTATAAGGTATTAAATCTATGTAACTCATCTCATTCAAATTTATGTCTGTTAGATTCGAAACTCATTGAAACTCTATTTCTTTGACATTCTTTGTAGTTTTAGGGACACAAAAGGTGCAATCATTTTGTATGGTCTGATGAGGAGATGACTCTAATATCAAAAGAGTTGATTTCTTCATTGAATGAAAGATTAGGTCTGGAGAATATTAAAGTCGAAGAATGCAAGCACAAAGAGGATGAGTTGAAGATGAAGATCAAGTTTCTGAGAATCCAGTTGAAGTTTACAATTGGGATGATCATTTTGTTGTTAATAGGACTAGTTGCTACAAGTGTAATGAATTAGGAATTACCTATGTTCCTTGATTTTTGAACCAACCATGTTGTGGTGTTGTTGTTTAGTTGATGATGTTTTGAAACAACCCTGATGTAAAACATGTAACCAAAAGTTATGAATGGAAAAATTTTGTTCCAACTTTCTTCCAAATTTGTTCCAATTTTATGATAGTAAACTTGTGTAATGACAATATGCAACCTGTTTGTGCAATATGGGTGCAGTATGCAAGCAAACTTTGTGCAATATGAGTGCAGTACGCAAGTAAAATTTATGTAATATGCAACCTGTAACACCCCCTTTCTATACCCCCAATTAAACAATTAAATCATTTAGGCACTTAATAAAAATTTCATCAGAGTACAAATTAAAACATGGTATAATAGAGGCGCATCACATTATCATCGAAACGAAACATAAATAATACCTGCTCATAAAGATATGTAACAAAAGGGGTAAATCTCAACTAAAAACAAGGCATAGCGCTTAAAACTCACATATCAACATTTAGAATAAAGCGGAAACATCTAAACATTGAAATCACTTCATTAACATAAGCATCATATACAACATTCAGATTAATTCAATTCATCAGTTGAGTTTACAAAACATTCAGCAACAGATACATACGCAGATGTATCACAAAAGAATCAAAACAATTCCTAACTACCTAGTGTTACATATCAGAGCCATCTGACCAAAAGAAATGAAGACTCGCTTCACAAAAGACCTCCAGCATCCTACTTTGCAATGCCTCATAGATCATTATAAAACATCAGAAGGGTGAGAAACATTATCATAACAAACAATGTATAAAATTATATATATCATAAAACACAATTATAACATACTCACAATTCACATTTCTCACCACAACTTGTTACAATACATCACAATGTACACGTACATAATCAATCACATTCACCAATTCATGCTTCACAATTCATAGCATTTCACATAAACATTTACAATTATGTTCAATTCACCAAAACATCATATAAAGATGATAATGCAACTCATAGAGACCGACTCACGACTCTATGCAGATGCAAATGCGGTACCGACTCGTTCAGCAGGTTCAATTGAAGAACCAAAATGGAACCATCGCTCGTTACCGAAGTAACTCCCTGTCGGGCCTACGATGTTCACACATTGCTCACACCCCACATGGGTACACGATGTTTCAGGATTGCTCACACCCCACACGGGCACACAATCTGGTTGCTCACACCCCACAAGGGCACACAACTGTTCTGCAGATTCTCCATGGAATCAAAATAAACCATCGCTCACACCCCACAAGGGCACACGATCGTTTCTGCAGATCCTCCTAGGGATCGAAGTAACTAACCATCGCTCACACCCCACAAGGGCACATGAGGTTTCTGCAGATCCTACACGGGATCAGACACACAAGAATGCAATCATGATGCTACACATGCAACACGACTCAATACACTCTTAAAATGCACACATGTTTACAAACATATTCAAGCATTCTTCACATCATACAAGTACATACAATTATGCACATTCACATCAATATCACCATGCAATTCCATTTTATTCGAACAATTGCACAAAATTGCCAAACGACCACATTACACATTCCATAATTCACAATCTAGGATTCACGCCATATGGCTACCCACAACACAATATAACTCGGCATAATCGATTCCTCGAGCAAGGAAATAATCAAAGTTAAGTCGGAAATCTGACCATGGATGGAAACATTAAAGAAAAACACAACCTATCACGTTCGCTACCCTGCTCGCTTAGCGAGCTCCTAGCGAGTATTCACCACTTGAAGGCAAACAGAAGCCTTTGACTTCGTTTGCTACCTCGCTCGCTCAGCGAACCCCTAGCGAACCTTCGCTACCCCCATTCGCTACCAGTGAACACCACAACATGCATTTTGTCCAAGTCTGGGACTGTTCACTACCTATTCGCTACTGCTCGCTTAGCGAACGTTCGTGACCAGCTCGCCAAGCGAACGTGCTAGCGAGTGTCTGCTAACACAGAATTTTCCCACTATTCTTCCACTCCAAAACTCTTGGATTCACCCGATTAAGTCCCAACTCATTCCAGCACTTTAGCCTAACATCACCCGACATAAATGCTACTACTTAATCTCACTTTCTCCAACGAAAACTCGGGTTCTATCGATTAAATCCGTATTATGCCCTAGAATGAAAAATGAGTAAAACTCTCCCCAATCCAAAACAAAACCAACAAGAACACACATAATCATACACATTGCAAGAATAATAAAGTTTCATACCCTTACCCGATCAATCGAAAGCTTAGAAGTTGATTCTTGATGATTCTAGGTTTTTCTCCTCTTCCTCCTTTTTTCTCCTCTCTTCCTTTCTTTCTCTTCTTTTTCTTTACTTTTGGTTTCTATTCTCCCTATTCTTACTCTTTCCACTTATACTCTTTCTATTCTATTTCTCTCAAAATAACTACTAATCAAGGATTATCTAAAACACCCTCTAATTAATTCCCAAAACTCTCCAATTAATAAAATACCACAACATACACACATAACATATTATCATATAATTCCACTATAAAATAACAATTAACCAAATAAATTAAAAGACTCAACAAAATAATGGGAAATTCAAAATTGGGGCATTACAACTCTTTTGTCCTCGAAAATATTACCTGATCCAAACAACTCTGGATGCGACTCTCGCATCTTACTTTCCAATTCCCAAGTCATATTGCCTTCTGCAGCACCTCCCCATTCTACTTTCACAAGCACAATATCCTTGCCTCTTAACGTCTTAATCTCACGGTCCAAAATTCTAATCGGCAAAGCTTCCACTGTAAGGTTATCTCTTACTTCAACCTCGTCCATAGGGATAACATGTGACGGATCCGAAACATACTTCCAAAGTTGCGAAACATGAAACACATCATGCAAATTCGAAAGATTCGGAGGCAACGCCAAACGATAAGCCACAACACCAACTCGTGCAATAATCTGATACGGACCGATGAAACGAGAAGTTAACTTCCTCGACTTCAAAGCACGACCCACACTCGTAACCGGCGTAACTCTCAAAAACACATGGTCGCCCTCTTGAAATTCAAGATCCTTCCTTCTCTTATCATGATAACTTTTCTGCCTACTCTGAGAAGCTCTCAACTTTTCTCGAATCAATCTCACCTTCTCCGTCGTCTGCTATACCAACTCCGGTCCAACCACCGACCTCTCACCAGTCTCATGCCAACACAAAGGTGTTCGACATTTTCGACCATACAAAGCTTCAAATGGAGCCATACCAATACTCGAACGAAAACTGTTATTATAGGTGAATTCAATCAACGCTAAATAACTATCCCGTGCACCACCTTGCTCTAGTACACAAGCTCGTAACAAATCCTCCAACGATTGAATTGTCCTTTCGGTTTGACCATCTATTTGCGGATGATAAGCCGAACTCAATCTCAACTGCGAACCCAAAGCCTTTTGCAAACTTTCCCAAAACCTTGAAGTAAACCTTGGATCTCTATCCGATACAATGCTCTTGGGAACTCCATGCAACCTCACAATCACCCAAACATAGAACTCAACTAACTTCTCCAAAGGATAACTAATATCAATCAGAATAAAGTGAGAAGATTTAGTAAGTCTATCAACAATCACCCAAATTGCATTGTGACCTCTCTGCTTATTCGGCAACCCCGTAATAAAATCCATCAAGATACTGTCCCATTTCCACTGTGGGATATCCAACAGTTGCATTAATCCAATAGGTTTCTGATGTTCCACTTTAGACTTCTGACAAGTCAAACACGCATACACAAACTAAGCCACATCTCTCTTCACGTCTTCTTCAAGTCTTGGTACATCTTATCTGCTCCCGGATGAATACTCAAATTACTACGGTGTCCTTCCTCCAATATCATTCCTTTCAACTCCGCATAATCAGGAATACAAATACGACCACGAAACCTCAAAACTCCAAAATCATCAACTTTGAAATCTTCATTCTCTTTTGTCATAAAGTCAACAAACTTCAAATCCAACTTTTGCCTTTCGCAAACTGTCAGAAAATCATTGTATACTGTCGCTACTGCGAAAATCAAGAGTTGGCACGTTGAGTTGATTGTTGGGCTCTCAGGCCCACTTGCATTTTTGGCATACACTCTCCGTTTTCCGTTCCTTCCCCCCTCCCCGTTCTTTTTTTGTGATTGTTTTTGTTGGGCTAAGCCCACTCGTTTTGCAGCACCCATACTCCCCGTTTTCATTACGCACCCCCGTTTTTAGTGCTGACTTTTTTGTTGTTGCTGATGGGCCAAGCCCATTGCCTTTTTTTTTACTACTGTATCCCTTGTAACCACTAATGCACCCCCTGCAGTTTTTTATTTCCTTTATTTTTCTTATATTGTTTTTAATGCATTTAATGGAATTTTTAGATAATATTTTTATTTAAGGAAATTAGTTTAATTTTCTTTTAAGAAGATTTAGGAAATTAGTTTAATTTTCTTTTAAGAAGATTTAGGAAATTAGTTTGATTTTCTTTTAAGAGAATTTAGGACTTAGTTAATTTCTTGATTAAGGAGATTTATAGATTTAATTCCTTAGGAGATTATTTTTGCCGTATTTTAGGATTAGACTTTTATTTTGTGTTGGATTTCTCTCCTATTTTCTTTTCTATCCGATTTTATCTTCGATTTTATTTCTGGCTGGCCGTGTGACACGATTCAATTGGAGAATGATTTTCGATATCATTTCTCTATCTTGTCTTTGACACGGATATTAATACGCTACCTCTTAGAGTTTGATTTCTTGTATAAGTCGAACCATGACGGTCTAAGCGTTACATTGGTTCTTGATTCGAGCGTCATCATCAAAGATCCAGAGAGGAGAAGATTGGAATGGAGCTTGCGCGCATGTCAGGAGCCAACGGAGCTGCTTCATCATCATCATCGTCTTATTCAAGTCTTCAGGCAACCGTCGAGTGTTGTGGGCTGCATCGTTAGATACGAAGGAAATG